TAATAACGACAGTATCCTATGCTTTATAGCGCAATAAAACATTTTAAAGCACATATAATGACATCGATGTTTGGCTTTCAGAAATCTGGATCTGAACAATGCAGTTATAACAATCATGGAACAACTAAGATTTTTAAATCATCAGGATATGCTTGGAGCAGTGCAACATATATGCAATGAATTAAGCCGGAGAACAACTTTGAATGAAGAGGTACCGAAATGACAAGATTTTATTTGTCATGCTAACTCTTGAACAGCGAAACAGGTTCGTGCAGGCGTGTTCCTCGATTCGGCGAAGTGAATATATTCTAAGTGCAAATGGATAAGTAGCGAAAATTACAAAAGATCAATTTGAAATGAACTTCGAACCTTAGATTTCAATGAAAGCATCATACCACAAGTCTCTAGATCACAAGGTAATTCAGTCAGGTTCCGTTCGATCAAAAAGAAGCGTGTTCTTGCAGTGCAACATGGCACACACACGCTGTGGGCAGAAGACCTAAGTTCTCAGCCTGCACTGCATTTTTGCGCTGTCGTTTCAACTACGCTCTTGGCATATAAGACATTAAATGCACAATTACCGTACTTATATGCAAAAGCGACCGAACTTGTTACGAACAATAGCACATTGAACATGTCGCTTTAAATAATGTGTAGGGAGACAAAAGGACAACAGACATCAAATTTTGCAAGCCACTGTAGCTCAGAATCTTGACTGGTTTAAACATAACTGTGTTGCACGACGAGAAACAGTTTGTCTCTCTATTTCGACTCTTTGCGACAAAAAGCAAGGACCATGGCGTTCCTATAACACTTCGACCTCTTTGGTCGGTCCACTTGACACAGACAAAATATGAAATTGTGCCTGCCTTCCTGACCGAGGCTCTGATTGGCAAGACGCATTAGTGGTCTTATCTAACCGCGCATCGCTTCCTCTAACAAAGACCTCCGCTGTCTTTCGCCCTTCATGAATATCGCTGCTTAATGTGGCATTGATTTTAAATCCAATAAACAAATAGCTGGGTCAAGAACCCGGCCATAAAATGGCTCTTTTCGCCAACAGCCGCCTTTGAGCCATAGAGAATCGATTTTCCCAGGCACACATCGAGCGACTTAGAAAGATTCGTTACTAATCTAAATATCAAGAAATTGCTTGGATAATGTCTCGACTTGAGGTCTACAGGAAGCAACGGCTGCAAGCAGCCCAGGGCCGCCCCCACCCCCCGCCTTCCACAATATGGCAGCTACATCGCCGGTGCAAGAGATCATTCAGCATGCCAGCGTGGTACTGATTTGTCAAAAACTCGAAACTACAACCTCATGTCTGTCGTAATCACAAATGATGCTCAGGGCAGCAATACTTTACGGTAATACGTCAGCTGCCTCATCTCGTCAAATAACTCTAAGACGATTATACATTTATCAACCATATTACATCATTACAGTTCCCAAGTATATAATCGATACAATTCTATGATACAGAATGTGGACCGGAGGAAGCAAATGCCTCATAAGCACCTACACGCTTTTCAGCATTTTTTTAAAACCTTAACGACATGCAACACAGCGCAATGGAATTCGACGAAAATAAAACGAAAAAATTAGTGTCCATTTTATTGCATTTTTTGCTTCAATGAGGACAGTGCAATATGCCGCGAAATCTGATCCTGGAGGAGTCGCAATATTTACATATTATACTGCAGCACTAGATACTACAATATTGATAGCTCAGTACAGTACTTGAAAAATGCATAAAGACGCAAGCCAATTAATTGATCAAAAGAGAGATTGACCAGTAGCGACGGTTCGGTTCGTCTCACAGGCTTTCTTCACGATGCACAGGGTTGAATTTTGCAGTTCGTTCTGTGTTGTTCAACTGCTGTGACGTTAGCAGCAAAGGAAACCACAACTGCGGAAATCAGCTAAGAAAAAATCAACCGGAGCTAACGTGAATAAGGTCTCTGAGAGAGGAGCCGAAACGTACTGGTATACTGGTCTATCACGTAACTGACTAATTTGCCTGTTTTACCTATAAATAAACCATTTTTATAGATTTTTCACTTTTCAGTATGACCATCAAAGTAGGAACGCAATACTCAGTCTTCCAATACAGCACTTATACTATAATAGTACATGCCATTGTACTATACTTGGAAGTTGAAGCTGTACAATGTAATATAGGCGGCATATATAATACATAGCACAAATAAATGCTATGTAAAGTTCTGACGCCATGTGAATAGTACGTTACCGGAATATCCTATCACAAAAACAGCATAGTAAATATTACCCAGACTACACAGTACTTTGTGTGACAGCATTATGGTAGTCTAACGCATTCGAATTGTATAGTAATATATACACTGCGGTACCAGATACTAGTATAATCCAACGAACTACACTAGCATGTTCCAAAGTACATTGAGCCATTGGTAGCACTGACAGAGTACACTTATACACAGTGTAAATGGATTTTACGTAAACTTCTCACGCCAAGCGACTGGTACACATTAACAGAATATCTTATGAAAGAATAGTCCAGTAAATATCACCAAATTCTATATGTGTGTACTTGTGTACTATACTTGTGTACTTCTATACTTGTGTACTAGAATATATAAATATAGTAGAGCACAGTGTCACAATCAGCATAGCAGTTATAATACTATATGCTAATGTAGAATAGCAACGTGCTGTATCAACTGAATGAGCCATACGCAGCACATAAAACATATAGTGTAAACAGATGGCAGGTAAATTTCTGATGCCACGTGAATAATGTCACCGGAATATCGTTAAGACAGAATAGCATATTACGTACTACGCAAGATACGATGTATAATGTATTAGCTGCTACAATATGTACAGAGACGCAATATGTGTAGGTAGCATCAACGTTTAACTATTGCTTCTTTGTATGTTGTTGTATGTTTCGGTTTTCGTGATTCTATTCATTACTTTAATAGCACTTACCCCATAAATTTATTGTACAGCTTGTATGTAAAATTCATGGGCCTAGATGTCCTCATTTTCCTTACACTGAACTTCTTGTATTTGTTGTTCATAGTGTACAAGAGTGATGCAAGATGACGGTCAGTCGGGCAGCTTTCGTACATCACCATCACAGACAACATGTTGATTTTACCGTGTGCTTGAAAGCCAGTGGTCTTGTAGTTGTACGGCTCGCAGAAC